GTGCATCAGCCAGTCATCTCAGTCAGTCGACCCGTGGCACCTGGGTCTGCCCCGTGACCTCCTGCCAGCGGGCGTTCGACACTTCACGTGGCCTCAGCGTGCACATAGCCTGGCACAAGCGTCGTGGTGACGTCACCGCCACTTAGTGGCGAATGGCGGTTGTTGTTGATGTTTGTGATGATGTTGGTGATGATGTTCGTGATGTTGATGTGTGGGGGATCGGCCACCACCACCACCGCCAGTCGTGACAGCGATTATCTGAACAAACCCGTCCTGGGCCTCACCTAGGTGGACTCGGCCTCAAATGAATACCGTTGCGCGACCTGTCGTGAACATCGCCACAGGGGGAGACAAAGGCGGCCGGGCGTGGTGATGCTGCTGGCCACAGCGCCCATCTCTATGTGTGTCTGTGTGTGTGTCACAGTGGCCGGTAGCCTTCATAGACGCTGCTGCTACTGACAGCACTTGCCCCTACAGCCCTGTTAGAGGCTACACGGGGCACCTTTGTCTGTGTGTCTATAGGCACTGCTGCTGCTACTGACAGCACTTGCCCCTACAGCCCTGTTAGAGGCTACACGGGGGAGTTTTGTCTGTGTGTGTAGGTGCTCCTACTGACAGCACTTGCCCCTACAGCCCTGTTAGAGGCTACACGGGGCACCTTTGTCTATGTGTCTATAGGGCACTGCTGCTGCTACTGACAGCACTTGCCCCTACAGCCCTGTTAGAGGCTACACGGGGGAGCTTTGTCTGTGTGTGTAGGTGCTGCTACTGACAGCACTTGCCCCTACAGCCCTGTTAGAGGCTACACGGGGTATCGTTGTCATTGTTTGATGGTGATGATGATGGTGGGGCTGTAACATATCGCGATGAGAGTCTAAAGATTATATATAGAATGGGATAGTACGCACGCACGCACACGCGCGCGACACGACAGATGATGATTATATATACTGTGAGCTTATACATAGTGACGGGTGTATTTACATGACTCATATCAGTGCCAAATCTGCGCAGGGGGATATAGGAGGCTGGTTGCGATCAATAAAATGTTCGGCCGAGGTTGTAGAGATCGCTCTCTCGTCTCTGGATGTGTCTTGACAAAGCGTGCTGCTGCTGCTGCTCCTGCTGAAGGGTTATAGAACGAAACGTCGCCTGTGGTGTTATGTGCAGGATGATGTGAGGTGTATGGGTGGTTACTGACGTGGGTGGGTGAGTGGGTGGGTGAGTGGGTGGGTGGGTGGATAGGTGAGTGGGTGGGTGGGTGGATAGGTGAGTGGGTGGATAGGTGAGTGGGTGGGTGGGTGGATAGGTGAGTGGGTGGGTGGGTGGATATGTGAATGGGTGGGTGAGTAGGTGAGTGGGTGGGTGAGTGAGTGATTGAATCAGTGATTGATTGAGTGGGTGAGTGAGTTAACGGGTGGGTGGGTGAGTGAGTGGGTGAATGAGTGAGTGAGTGAATGTGTGAGTGAGTGGGTGTGTGGGTAGGTGTGTGGGTGGGTGAGTGGGTGGGTGGGTAGGTGAGTGGGTGGGTGAGTGAGTGATTGAGTGAGTGATTGAATCAGTGATTGATTGAGTGGGTGAGTGAGTGAGTGGGTGTCTGGGTAGTTGAGTGGTTGTGTGGGTGTGTGTGTGGGTGTGTGTGAGTGTGTGTGGGTAGGTGAGTGTGTGTGTAGGTGAGTGTGTGTGTGGGTGAGTGGGTGTGTGGGTAGGTGGGTGGGTGTGTGGGTGGGTGGGTGGGTGTGTGGGTGGGTGTGTGGGTAGGTGAGTGGGTAGGTGTGTGGGTGGGTGTGTGTGTATGAGTGGGTGTGAGTGTGTGGGTGAGTGGGTGTGTGGGTGTGTGTGTGAGTGGGTGTGAGTGTGTGTGAGTCCGGCAAAAACAACCCCCGACCTCCACGTTAGCGCCAGACGGTAACGCTGTGGTGGGCAGTGCTGTGGTGGGCAGTGCCGTGGGAGGAGGGCCAATGTAGATTGACCATTCCCCTCATGGCGTTTGTGACCACCACAGCGGCCAAACGGGGGCTCTGGACGGGTGCGAGGGGCTGGAAACCCCCTCCATCTTCAATTAATTACCACTAAACCACGACTGAAATATCTAACTAATAAGCTTGTGCCGGAGGCCCCGGGGGGACAGGCGTCTATGACGTCTCCTGGCCAAACCCCATTTGGCGGAGCCAGGAGACTGAATCCTTACCCTCGGGGCTCCTCCAGAAACAACGATAAAAACCACTACGTGTGTCGGGAGCTGGACCGGTACCGCCCGGATCTCTGCGGCATTCAGGAGGTCCGGTGGACCGGCACTGGCTCCTGCCACCGTGAGTGGTGGACAGTCCCTCTACTCGGGGCAGGAGACTGCCCAACAACAGGGAGTGGCTCTTCTTTTGAACAAAATAATGAAGGGGGCGTGGGAGCGTGGCGGTGAGGTGTGGGAAGCTGTAAGCCCCAGGCTACTTTGGGCTCGCCTTCCCATCAACCGGAGGCGAGGAATGGTGGTCGTGGTTACTTATACCGCCACCGAAGACGAACATCCGTGGAGGGATGCAGGCAAGGCCTGGAGTCGGATGCCTTCTATGACCTCCTGTCACAGGTGCTGGCTAAATTGCCCCCTCGGGATAGAGTCATCTTGTTGGGTGACTTCAATGCCAGAGTTGGTCATGATGCTGGCACCTGGTCTGGAGTGATTGGAGGGCATGGGCCAGATAAGCTCAATAACAACGGTAGGAGGCTGCTAGATTTTTGTGCAGCCCATGGGCTTGTAATTACCAACACGCTGTTCCGGCATCAGCGCATCCACACAACATCATGGATGCATGCCGGGTCCAAGCAAGAACATCTGCTGGACTACGTAGTGACGGAACAGCAGGACAAAGTGGGGATGACCCTGCTGAGGCTGCGGTGCCTCAAATATTGGAAGAAGTCACCCCCTCTGAGTGGCTGGCTGAGGTGCCATCTGTTGAGGAAGTACTGAGGGCGATCCGGAGCCTGCGACCAGGAAAGGCAGCGGGCAGAGATGATCTCCCAAGCGAAATGCTGAGGGAGGGTGGCGTTTGTGCACAGACTGCCCTACATGACATCATGACAACAGTCTGGACCACTGGACGGGTTCCGCAGGATTGGAAGGATGCCCTGGTGGTCCCCCTCTTTAAGAAGGGGGACCGCACAGACTGTAACAACTACAGGGGCATCTCACTCCTCAGTGTGACGGGAAAGGTCCTGGCAAGGATTATTCAACATCGCCTTGCCAGGCACGCTGAGGAGAGGCTTGCGGAGCCCCAATGAGGTTTCAGGAAAGGGCGGCCCTGCACAGATGCCATATTTTCTGTCCGTCTGCTACAGCAGAGGTGTAGGGAATTCCAACAAGACCTACATCTCTGCTGTACAGTTTCACTCTTCAACACACCCGTGGGCTAAAGTAGTGAACTATTTGTCTTTTGTCAACGTGACACTTTTTTGCTGATTGGCCGTGTCGGGTGGTGGAGGGTTACGACACATTTATAAATAAACGCGATCTAACCCAAAAACCTTTATTATGAATAATATTGGTCGCGAAAGCCTAACGTGTTAAACTAGTCAACTATTATTTTTCAAATTTTCTTGCTGTGGTTTTCACACCTGATGATGATTGCTGCTCTGTGTTGCAGTCGAAACGTCGTGAGAATTTTTTTGTTTTATATTTTTATTATTTTATTGTTTCCCTTCCACGTGGTGACTTTACCCAAAGAACCAAGAATAATAATTGTATTGTTTTACAATAATTTTATTGTTTTATATATATTTTATTATTTTATTGTTTCCCTTCTACGTGGTGGTGACTTTACCCAAAGAACCAAGAATAATAATTTTATTGTTTTACAATAATTGTATTGTTTTATATTTTTATTATTTTATTGTTCCCCTCTACGTGGTGACTTTACCCAAAGAACCAAGAATAATAATTTTATTGTTTTACAATAATTTTATTGTTTTATATTTTTATTATTTTATTGTTCCCCTCTACGTGGTGACTTTACCCAAAGAACCAAGAATAATAATTTTATTGTTTTACAATAATTTTATTGTTTTATATTTTTATTATTTTATTGTTTCCCTTCTACATGGTGGTGACTTTACCGAAAGAACCAAGAATATTAATCCATGCAGTAACGAAAGCTTAAAATCAAAAAACATTTTCGTCTTCTTTTGTAAACGTGACACTTTTTTTACTGTTTGGCCGTGTCGGGTGGTGGAGGGTTACGACACATTTGAGGGCCGTCCACAAATGACGTCACGCGATTTTTGACAGTTTTTTGACCCCCCACCCCCCGCTTCGTCACACGGCGTCACAAAAAAGTCAGAGCCCTCCTCAAATATGACGTCACAAAGCTCTGCTTCCCCCCCCCACCCCTAGGTGCGTGACGTCATTCACAGACGGCCCCAAGTGTCACGTGGAAAGAAAATAAATGAATAAGAAAGTATTCTATTGTTAATTTAACACGAAAGTATTTTATTCTTTAATTGATTTTCTTTCCACGTTACTTTACCGAAAGAACCAAAGAGTAAATCACTGCATTCACGAAAGCTTAAAATCAAAGTTTGATGGAGGGGAAAGTTTCCGTTCTATTGGCGGGGATTGCCGAGATTTTGGAGCAAGTAGGCAGTTGGGGAGAGGCTGAGCAACTGCTCGCGCGGTTACGTCACCACGCAGCGTGGTGACGTCTCCGCGCAGCGTGGTGCGAAAGTGAGTTTACAAGGTGACGTCACCGCGCACGGTGGGTGGAGCCTACGCGGTGACGTCACCCTCCGCTTTAAAGTGGCGGGGCTCGCCTCGGTAGGAGAAAGGAGGCGGTTCGACAGCGGCGATGTTAGCGTGACGTCACCACGCAGCGTGTGCGTGACGTCACCAGGCGGTGACGTCACCACGCAAGGTATGCGTGTTACGTGCGAGCTTACGCGGTGACGTCAAAACGCAAGTCCCCCCCCTCACCCCCCCCACTTTAAAATGGCGGGGCTCGCCGAGGGAGGAGGGAGTCGGCTCGACAGCGGCGATGTTAGTGTGACGTCACCACGCAGCGTGCGCGTGTGAGGGCGGGTGAGCTTACGCGGTGACGTCACCACGCAGGGTGTGCGTGAAGGATGGGCCAGCTTACGCGGTGACGTCACCACGCAAGTCCCCGTCCCCCCTCTCCCCTCACTTTAAAATGGCGGGGCTCGCCTAGTTAGGAGGAAGGAGGCGGCTCGACAAGCGGCGATGTTAGCGTGACGTCACCACGCAGCGTGCGCGTGTGAGGGCGGGTGAGCTTACGCGGTGACGTCACCACGCAGGGTGTGCGTGAGGGATGGGCCAGCTTACGCGGTGACGTCACCACGCAAGTCCCCGTCCCCCCCCCCCTCCCCTCACTTTAAAATGGCGGGGCTCGCCTAGTTAGGAGGAAGGAGGCGGCTCGACAAGCGGCGATGTTAGCGCTCGGTCGGGAGCGTCCCGTGAGTCTCCTTCCCTCACCGTTGTCACGGCCGTCTTTGTCTCTCTCTCTCTCCCCGCGCGTGGCCGCCAGCGGTGGTTTGTTTTGTTGGCGCAGGCGGCGCGAGGGCGAGGAGGTTGTTGCAGCAGCGCCAAGCCTGAGGCCTTCGCTGCTGGTGGTGTTAGTGGTGGGACTTGGGCACGCTAGGCCGCGACACTGCAACTCGCCCGGCCAAGCTCTATCCACTGCTGGACTGACACTACTAGTGATGGTGGTGGTAGTGGTAGTGTCTCCACCCTGTGTGTGTGTGTTTAATCCGTGTTATTGTGTGGTGATCATCATCACCGTGGTCTATCCACTGCTGGACTGACACTGCTGGTGATGGTGGTGGTAGTGTCTCCACCCTGTGTGTGTGTTTACTCCGTGTTCTTGTGTGGTGATCATCACCACCAAGCTCTATCCACTGCTGGACTGACACTACTAGTGGTGGTGGTGGTAGTGTCTCTACCCTGTGTGTGTGTGTTTAATCCGCGTGTTCTTGTGTGGGCATCATCACCACCGTGGTCTATCCACTGCTGGACTGGCACTACTTGGGGTGGTGGTGGTAGTGTCTCTACCCTGTATGTGTGTGTTTAATTCGCGTGTTCTTGTGTGGTGATCATCACCACCGTGGTCTATCCACTGCTGGACTGACACTACTGGTGATGGTGGTGGTAGTAGTGTCTCTATCCTGTGTGTTTAATCCGCGTGTTCTTGTGTGTGCATCATCATCACCGTGATCTATCCACTGCTGGACTGACACAACTTGGGGTGGTGGTGGTAGTGTCTCTACCCTGTGTGTGTGTTTAATCCGCGTGTTCTTGTGTGGTGATCATCACCGTGATCTATCCACTGCTTGACTGACACTACTGGTGGTGATGGTAGTAGTGTCTACCCTGTCTGTGTGTGTTTAATCCGCGTGCTCTTGTGTGGTGATCATCACCGTGGTCTATCCACTGCTGGACTGACACTACTGGTGATGGTGGTGGTGGTAGTGTCTACCCTGTGTGTGTTTAATCCGCGTGTTCTTGTGTGGTGATCATCACCACCATGGTCTATCCACTGCTAGACTGACACTACTGGTGGTGGTGGTAGTAGTGTCTCTACCCTGTGTGTGTGTTTAATCCGCGTGTTCTTGTGTGTGCATCATCATCACCGTGGTCTATCCACTGCTGGACTGACACTGCTGGTGGTGGTGGTGGTAGTGTCTCTACCCTGTGCGTGTGTGTTTAATCCGCGTGTTCTTGTGTGGTCATTATCACCACCGTGGTCTATCCACTGCTGGACTGACACTACTTGGGGTGGTAGTGGTAGTGTCTCTACCCTGTGTGTGTGTTTAATCCGCGTGTTCTTGTGTGGTGATCATCAACATGGTCTATCCACTGCTGGACTGACACTACTAGTGATGGTGGTGGTAGTGTCTCTACCCTGTGTGTGTGTGTTTAATCCGCGTGTTCTTGTGTGGTGATCATCACCACCGTGATCTATCCACTGCTGGACTGACACTGCTGGTGATAGTGGTGGTAGTAGTGTCTACCCTGTGTGTGTGTGTGTGTTTAATCCGCGTGTTCTTGTGTGGGCATCATCACCACCGTGGTCTATCCACTGCTGGACTGACACTACTGGTGGTAGTGTCTCTACCCTGTGTGTGTGTTTAATCTGCGTGCTCTTGTGTGATCATCACCGTGGTCTATCCACTGCTGGACTGACACTACTAGTGATGGTGGTGGTAGTAGTGTCTCCACCCTGTGTGTGTGTTCTTGTGTGGTGATCATCATCACCGTGATCTATCCACTGCTGGACTGACACTACTAGTGATGGTGGTGGTAGTAGTGTCTCCACCCTGTGTGTGTGTTTAATCCGCGTGTTCTTGTGTGGTGATCACCGTGGTCTATCCACTGCTGGACTGACACTGCTGGTGGTGGTGGTGGTGTCTCTATCCTGTGTGTGTGTTTAATCCGCGTGTTCTTGTGTGGTGATCATCATCATCACCATGGTCTCCACTGCTGGACTGACACTGCTGGTGATGGTGGTAGTGTCTCTACCCTGTGTTTGTTTGTTTAATCCGCGTGTTCTTGTGTGGTCATCATCACCACCGTGATCTATCCACTGCTGGACTGACACTACTAGTGGTGGTGGTGGTAGTGTCTCCACCCTGTGTGTGTGTGTTTAATCCGCGTGTTCTTGTGTGGTGATCATCATCATCATCACCATGGTCTATCCACTGCTGGACTGACACTGCTGGTGATGGTGGTGGTAGTGTCTACCCTGTGTGTGTGTTTAATCCGCGTGTTCTTGTGTGGTGGTCATCATCACCATGGTCTATCCACTGCTGGACTGACACTACTAGTGGTGGTGGTAGTGTCTACCCTATATGTGTGTTTAATCCGCGTGTTCTTGTGTGGTGATCATCATCACCGTGGTCTATCCACTGCTGGACTGACACTACTAGTGGTGGTGGTAGTGTCTACCCTATGTGTGTTTAATCCGCGTGTTCTTGTGTGGTGATCATCACCACCGTGGTCTATCCACTGCTGGACTGACACTACTAGTGGTGGTGGTAGTAGTCTACCCTGTGTGTGTTTAATCCGCGTGTTCTTGTGTGGTGATCATCATCACCGTGGTCTATCCACTGCTGGACTGACACTACTTGGGGTGATGGTGGTAGTGTCTACCCTGTGTGTTTAATCCGCGTGTTCTTGTGTGGTGAACATCATCACCATGGTCTATCCACTGCTGGACTGACACTACTGGTGATGGTGGTAGTAGTCTCTACCCTGTGTGTGTTTAATCCGCGTGTTCTTGTGTGTGCATCATCACCACCATGGTCTATCCACTGCTGGACTGACACTGCTGGTGGTGGTGGTAGTGTCTACCCTGTGTGTGTGTTTAATCCGCGTGTTCTTGTGTGGTGGTCATCATCACCGTGATCTATCCACTGCTGGACTGACACTACTGGTGATGGTGGTAGTGTCTCTACCCTGTGTGTGTTTAATCCGCGTGTTTTTGTGTGGTCATCATCACCGTGATCTATCCACTGCTGGACTGACACTACTTGGGGTGGTGGTGGTAGTGTCTCTACCCTGTGTGTTTAATCCGCGTGTTCTTGTGTGGTCATCATCACCGTGGTCTATCCACTGCTGGACTGACACTACTGGTGATGGTGGTGGTAGTGTCTCTACCCTGTGTGTGTTTAATCCGCGTTATTGTGGGCATCATTACCACCGTGGCTATACGGGGGGATCTTTGTCTGTGTGCGTGTGTGGTGAACAGCACTTGCCCCAGCGTTCTGCTAGAGGCTATACGGGGGATCTTTGTCTGTGTGCGTGTGTGGTGAACAGCACTTGCCCCAGCGTTCTGCTAGAGACTATACGGAGGATCTTTGTCCTGTGTGCGTGTGTGGTGAACAGCACTTGCCCCAGCATTCCATTAAGGCTATACGGGGGATCTTTGTCTGTGTGTGTGTGTGGTGAACAGCACTTGCCCCAGCGTTCCATTAAGGCTATACGGGGGATCTTTGTCTGTGTGCGTGTGTGGTGAACAGCACTTGCCCCAGCGTTCTGCTAGAGGCTATACGGGGATCTTTGTCCTGTGTGCGTGTGTGGTGAACAGCACTTGCCCCAGCATTCCATTAAGGCTATACGGGGGATCTTTGTCCTGTGTGCGTGTGTGGTGAACAGCACTTGCCCCAGCGTTCTGCTAGAGGCTATACAGGGGATCTTTGTCTGTGTGCGTGTGTGACGAACAGCACTTGCCCCAGCGTTCTGCTAGAGGCTATACGGGGGATCTTTGTCTGTGTGCGTGTGTGGCGAACAGCACTTGCCCCAGCATTCTGTTAAGGCTATACGGGGGATCTTTGTCTGTGTGCGTGTGTGGTGAACAGCACTTGCCCCAGCGTTCTGCTAGAGACTATACGGGGGATCTTTGTCTGTTGTCCTTGAAGGTGATGGAGCCGCCCGTGATGGAGGAGGTGGGGGAGGTGGTGGGCAGCCTCCAGGCGATGGCCGATGATGACGAAGACATCGACCAGTACAACGACGACACGTTCGGTGCCGGAGCCACCGGTACGCCGGTGGTGGTGGTGGTGGTGATGGTGGTGGTGGTGATGGTGGTGGTGGTGGTGCTGGTGGTGATGTTGATGGTGGTGGTGGTGATGCTGGTGGTGATGCTGGTAGTGGTGGTGCTGGTGGTGATGGTGCTGCTGGTGGTGATGGTGCTGCTGCTGGTGGTGGTGGTGCTGCTGGTGGTGGTGGTGGTGCTGCTGGTGGTGGTGGTGGTGCTGCTGGTGGTGGTGCTGCTGCTGGTGGTGGTGCTGCTGCTGGTGGTGGTGCTGCTGGTGGTGGTGGTGCTGGTGGTGCTGGTGGTGGTGGTGCTGCTGGTGGTGGTGGTACTGGTGGTGGTGGTGCTGGTGGCAGCAGTAACTCACTCCCCTCTCCCCTCCCCCCACCCCCCCCCCGCTCCCCAGACGAGGACTGGGAACCCTCCCAGGACTCCCCGTTGCTCTCTCTCCCCCCACTGTGCAACCACCCGCTGCACCACCACCACAACAACAACAACCACAACCACCACAACCACCCGCACCACCACCACCACCACCACCATCCCTGCGACGACCCCTGGCCACATGAGAGCTCCCTGCTGCTGCTGTTGCCCCCCTGCTCCTCGGCCGGGGGGGTCCCGCTGGGGGTGGGGTCCGCGGGGGATGAGGGTGAGGGCGGCGAGGCGGAGGAGCGGACCGACGACTCTCTGGCGGAGAGCGACTTCGAGGACAGCATCAGCAAGCTGGTGCTGGAGGACGACATGGAGGATCCGGCGGTGATACGGGCCGGGGTTCGCAGGCCTCTCACGGAGGTGAGCGGCCGCAGGGGCGTTGGTGTGGTGTGAGTGTGTGGTGAGGGAGTGTGGAGTGTGTGTGAGTGAGTGGAGAGAGTGTGGTGTGAGAGAGTGTGGTGTGAGAGAGTGTGGTGTGAGAGAGTGTGGTGTGGGAGAGTGTGGTGTGGGAGAGTGTGGTGTGGGAGAGTGTGGTGTGGGAGAGTGTGGTGTGGGAGAGTGTGGTGTGGGAGAGTGTGGTGTGGGAGAGTGTGGTGTGGGAGAGTGTGTGAGTGAGTAGAGTGAGTGAGGTGAAGTGAGTGTGGTGTGTGTAGTGAGTGAGTGAGTGTGTAGTGTGGAGTGAGTGTGGTGTGTGTAGTGTGGAGTGAGTGTGGTGTGTGTAGTGTGGAGTGAGTGTGGTGTGTGTAGTGTGGAGTGAGTGTGTAGTGTGGAGTGAGTGTGGTGTGTGTAGTGTGGAGTGAGTGTGGTGAGTGTGGTGTGTGTAGTGTGGAGTGAGTGTGGTGTGTGTGGTGTGGTGTGAGTGTGGTGAGTGAGTGAGTGTGGAGTGTGAGTGAGAGAGGTAGTGTGGAGTGAGTGTGGTGTGTGTAGTGTGGAGTGAGTGTGGTGTGTGTAGTGTGGAGTGAGTGTGGAGTGTGTGTGGTGTGTGTAGTGTGGAGTGTGTGTAGTGTGGAGTGAGTGTGGTGTGTGTGGTGTGTGTAGTGTGGAGTGTGTGTAGTGTGGTGTGAGTGTGGTGAGTGAGTGTGTGTGGAATGTGAGTGAGAGAGTGTGGTGTGTGTGTGTGAGTGAGAGAGTGTGGTGTGTGTGTGTGAGTGAGAGAGTGTGGTGTGTGTGTGTGAGTGAGAGAGTGTGGTGTGTGTGTGTGAGTGAGAGAGTGTGGTGTGTGTGTGTGAGTGAGAGAGTGTGGTGTGTGTGTGTGAGTGAGAGAGTGTGTGTGTGTGTGAGTGAGAGAGTGTGTGTGTGTGTGTGTGAGTGAGAGAGTGTGGTGTGTGTAAGTGTGGAGTGTGTGTGTGTGTAAGTGTGGAGTGTGTGTGTGTGTGAGTGAGAGAGTGCTGGAGGACGACATGGAGGACCCGGCGGTGATACGGGCCGGGGTTCGCAGGCCTCTCACGGAGGTGAGCGGCCGCAGGGGTGTGTGTGTGGTGTGAGTGTGAGTCAGTGGTGTGTGTGTGGTGTGAGTGTGTGTGGTGTGTGTGTGAGTCAGTGGTGTGTGTGTGGTGTGAGGGAGTGTGGAGTGAGTGTGGTGAGTGTGGAGTGAGGGAGGGGAGTGAGTGAGGGAGTGAGGGAGTGTGGAGTGAGTGAGGGAGTGTGGAGTGAGTGAGGGAGTGTGGAGTGAGGGAGTGAGTGTGTGGAGTGTGGTGTGAGTGAGGGAGTGTGGAGTGAGTGTGGTGAGGGAGGGGAGTGAGTGAGGGAGTGTGGAGTGAGGGAGTGAGTGTGGTGTGAGTGTGTGGAGTGTGGTGTGAGTGAGGGAGTGTGGAGTGAGTGTGGAGTGAGGGAGTGTGGAGTGAGTGTGGTGAGTGTGGAGTGAGCGAGGGGAGTGAGTGAGGGTAGTGAGGTGAGTGAGTGAGTGCTGGAGGACGACATGGAGGACCCGGCGGTGATACGTGCCGAGGTTCGCAGGCCTCTCACGGAGGTGAGCGGCCGCAGTGGTGTGAGGTGAGGGAGTGTGTGGAGTGAGTGAGTGAGTGTGTGGTGTGAGTGAGTGTGGTGTGAGTGGAGTGAGTTAGTGTGGAGTGAGTGGCTGGTGTGGTGTGGAGTGAGTGAGTGTGGTGGTGTGCTGTGAGGTGGTGTGAGTGTAGTGAGGGAGTGAGGTGGTGTGAGTGAGGGAGTGTAGTGTGAGTGAGTGAGTGTGGTGTGTGAGTGAGTGTGTGGTGTGAGGGAGTGTGAGTGAGAGAGTGCTGGATTACGACATGGATGGACCCGGCGGTGATACGGGCCGGGGTTCGCAGGCCTCTCACGGAGGTGAGCGGCCGCAGGGGTCTGCAGGGGTGTGTGTGTGTGGTGTGGTGTGAGTGAGTGTGTAGTGAGGGAGCGTGGTGTGTGTGTGGTGTGGTGTGAGTGAGTGTGTAGTGAGGGAGCGTGGTGTGTGTGTGGGTTGGTGGTAAGGGCTGGGTGAGCGGTGAGTGTATGTGTGTGCGTGGTGTGTGTGTGTGTGTGTTTCCACTGTGGTTCTGCGTTGGCTGAGTCATGTCGTCCGCATGCCCAGCCACCGCACGCCCAAGCAGCTTCTGTTTGGCCGCGTCGAGGGGTCTAAACGGGCGCGGCACGGGCTAGAGAAGAGATGGAGTGATGGGTGAGTGGGTGGGTGGCACGGGCTAGAGAAGAGATGGAGTGATGGGTGAGTGGGTGGGTGGCACGGGCTAGAGAAGAGATGGAGCGATGGGCGAGTGGGTGGGTGGCATGGGCTAGAGAAGAGATGGAGCGATGTGGTACAGGAGGCACGGGCTAGAGAAGAGATGGAGTGATGTGGTACAGGAGGAACGGGGCTAGAGAAGAGATGGAGTGATGGGCGAGTGAGTGGGTGGCACGGGCTAGAGTAGAGATGGAGTGATGGGTGAGTGGCACGGGCTAGAGAAAAGATGGAGTGATGGGTGAGTGGGTGGGTGGCACGGGCTAGAGAAGAGATGGAGTGATGGGTGAGTGGCACGGGCTAGAGAAGAGATGGAGTGATGGGTGAGTGGGTGGGTGGCACGGGCTAGAGAAGAGATGGAATGATGTGGCACAGGAGGCACGGGGCTAGAGAAGAGATGGAATGATGTGGTGCAGGAGGCACGGGCTAGTGAAGAGATGGAGTGATGAGTGAGTGGGTGGGTGGCACGGGCTAGAAAGGAGATGGAGTGATGTGGTACAGGAGGCACGGGCTAGAGAAGAGATGGAGTGACGTGGTACAGGAGGCACGGGGCTAGAGAAGAGATGGAATGATGTGGTGCAGGAGGCACGGGCTAGTGAAGAGATGGAGTGATGAGTGAGTGGGTGGGTGGCACGGGCTAGAAAGGAGATGGAGTGATGTGGTACAGGAGGCACGGGCTAGAGAAGAGATGGAGTGACGTGGTACAGGAGGCACGGGGCTAGAGAAGAGATGGAGTGATGTGGTACAGGAGGCACGGGCTACAGAAGAGATGGAGTGATATGGTACAGGAGGCACGGGCTAGAGAAGAGATGGAGTGACGTGGTATAGGAGGCACGGGGCTAGAAAAGAGATGGAGTGACGTGGTACAGGAGGCACGGGGCTAGAGAAGAGATGGAGTGATGGGTGAGTGAGTGGGTGGCACGGGCTAGAGTAGAGATGGAGTGATGGGTGGGTGGCACGGGCTAGGGAAGAGATGGAGCGATGTGGCACAGGAGGCACGGGCTAGAGAAGAGATGGAGTGACGTGGTACAGGAGGCACGGGGCTAGAGAAGAGATGGGGTGATGTGGCACAGGAGGCACGGGCTAGTGAAGAGATGGAGTGACGTGGTACAGGATGCACGTGGCTAGAGAAGAGATGGAATGATGTGGTACAGGAGGCACGGGGCTAGAGAAGAGATGGGGTGATGTGGCACAGGAGGCACGGGCTAGTGAAGAGATGGAGTGACGTGGTACAGGAGGCACGGGCTAGTGAAGAGATGGAGTGACGTGGTACAGGAAGCACGGGCTAGAGAAGAGATGGAGTGATGTTGGTACAGGAGGACGTGGAGCTGAGTGGACTAGCCGATGACTGGTACCAGCGGTGTCAAGATCGGCCTCTGTGGAGGAGGCTCGTCAAGGACGCTGCTCCTGGGCAGTCGGAGGCAGTCGCCCTCCAACAACAACGGAGGGCGGAGGAGCGAAGCTCACAACAACGAGCGGAGCGCCGGGTGGCTAAAGCACAGCAAGTCGGCACAGTAGGGGGGTGGGTGAGGTGGGGGGTACAGCTGTTGGTGCATCTACCGGTCATCTTAGTCAAGTCGACCCGTGGTACCTGCTGGGTCTGTGACCTCCTGCCAGCGTGCGTTGGACACTTCACGTGGCCTCAACGTGCACCTAGCCTGCCACAGGCACCGTGGTGACGTCTCCGCCACTTGGTGGCGAATGGCTGTTGGTGTGTGTGTGTGTGCCATGCGGTTCCGGCCTTCGTAGGTGGCTGCACGCCGACGCCACTTGCCCCAACAGTCTGCTGAGGCTATAACGGGGGAATTCATATTCTTTGGTCTTTGGGTAAAGTCGCGTAGATGGGTTCAAGTAAAATATTTATACGGGGGATCTTTGTGCGTGTGTGTTCGCGTGTGCATGCGTGTGTGTGTGTCACACCGTGTGTGTGCATGCGTGTGTGTTTGTTTGCATGCGTGTGTGTGTGTGTGCGTGCCCCTTGATGCACGATGGCTGTCGCAGGACTCGGCGATTGTGGATAGCCTCTGCTCCATGAGCAGTTGGAGGGGACTAATGAATAGGTCACTCACGGTAAGACGCTGTGGTGTGTAGAACTCTCTCTCACCCTGAGACCCGGTCTCCCTGAGTCTCTCACCTTGAGACCCGGTCTCCCTGAGTCTCTCTCACCCTGAGACCCGGTCTCCCTGAGTCTCTCTCACCCTGAGACCAGGTCTCCCTGAGTCTCTCTCACCCTGAGACCCGGTCTCCCTGAGTCTCTCTCGCCCTGAGACCCGGTCTCCCTGAGTGAGTCTCTCTCACCCTGAGACCCGGTCTCCCTGAGTCTCTCTCGCCCTGAGACCCGGTCTCCCTGAGTGAGTCTCTCTCACCCTGAGACCCGGTCTCCCTGAGTCTCTCTCACCCTGAGACCCGGTCTCCCTGAGTCTCTCTCACCCTGAGACCCGGTCTCCCTGAGTCTCTCTCACCCTGAGACCCGGTCTCCCGGAGTCTCTCTCACCCTGAGACCTGGTCTCCCTGAGTCTCTCTCACCCTGAGACCCGGTCTCCCTGAGTCTCTCTCACCCTGAGACCCGGTCTCCCTGAGTCTCTCTCACCCTGAGACCCGGTCTCCCTGAGTCTCTCTCACCCCGAGACCCGGTCTCCCTGAGTCTCTCTCACCCCGAGACCCGGTCTCCCTGAGTCTCTCTCACCCTGAGACCCGGTCTCCCTGAGTCTCTCTCACCCTGAGACCCGGTCTCCCTGAGTCTCTCTCACCCTGAGACCCGGTCTCCCTGAGTCTCTCTCACCCTGAGACCCGGTCTCCCTGAGTCTCTCTCACCCTGAGACCCGGTCTCCCTGAGTCTCTCTCACCCTGAGACCCGGTCTCCCTGAGTCTCTCTCACCCTGAGACCCGGTCTCCCTGAGTCTCTCTCACCCTGAGACCCGGTCTCCCTGAGTCTCTCTCACCCTGAGACCCGGTCTCCCTGAGTCTCTCTCACCCTGAGACCCGGTCTCCCTGAGTCTCTCTCACCCTGAGACCCGGTCTCCCTGAGTCTCTCTCACCCTGAGACCCGGTCTCCCTGAGTCTCTCCCACCCCTGAGACCCGGTCTCCCTGAGTCTCTCCCACCCCTGAGACCCGGTCTCCCTGAGTCTCTCCCACCCCTGAGACCCGGTCTCCCTGAGTCTCTCCCACCCCTGAGACCCGGTCTCCCTGAGTCTCTCTCACCCTGAGACCCGGTCTCCCTGAGTCTCTCTCACTCTGAGACTTGCGGGAATGCCGTGGACTTCCTACACAGCGGGCGACATCTCACGGTTTTAGTTGTTGGGTCATGGTGGTGGTGGTTGTCGTGGTGGTGGTTGTCACGGTGGTGGTGGTTGTCACGGTGGTGGTGGTGGTTGTCACGGTGGTGGTGGTGGTTGTCACGCTGGTGGTGGTGGTTGTCACGCTGGTGGTGGTTGTCACGGTGGTGGTGGTTAACATGTCGCCATCGTTTTGAAGTATGAGCATTTTATTTTGGGTGTGCGTGACCTTGTGTGTGTGTGACACTGTGTGTGTGTGACACTGTGTGTGTGTGACACTGTGTGTGTGTGTGACACTGTGTGTGTGTGTGACACTGTGTGTGTGTGTGTGTGACACTGTGTGTGTGTGTGTGTGACACTGTGTGTGTGTGTGTGACACTGTGTGTGTGTGTGTGTGACACTGTGTGTGTGTGTGTGACAAAACAACCCCCTACCTCCTCGCGGTGCCGGACGGGCAACTCTGTAGTGGACAGCGCTGTGGGGGGAGTTCCAATTTTGATTGGCTCCTCCCCTCATGGCATATGTGTCCACCACAGGGGCTAAACGGGGGCTCTGGACGGGTGCGAGGGGCTGGTAACCCCTCCACCTTCAATTAATTACCACAAAACCACGAATTAAACTGAAATATGTAACAACTAAGCTTGTGCCGGAGGCCGCGGGGGGCCAGGCGTCTATGACGTCTCCTGGCCAAACCCCAATTGGCGGAGCCAGGAGATTGAATACCTACCCTCGGGGCTACTCCAGAAACAACGAAAAGCCACTACGGGTGGCCACGTGGAATGTTCGAACGCTCACTGCAGAGGAGAGGCTGCCACTCCTCTGTCGGGAGCTGGACCGGTACCGCCTGGATCTATGCGGCATTCAGGAGGTCCGGTGGACCGGCTCTGGCTCCTGCCACCATGAGGGGTGGACAGTCCTCTACTCGGGGCAGCAGACTGCCAAACAACAGGGTGTGGGTCTTCTTTTGAACAAAAGAATGAAGGGGGCGTGGGAGCGTGGCGGTGAGGTGTGGGAAGCTGTAAGCCCCAGGCTACTTTGGGCTCGCCTTCCCATCAACCGGAGGCGAGGAATGGTGGTCGTGGTTACTTATGCCCCCACCGAAGATGAACATCCGTGGAGGGATGCAGGCAAAGCCGATGAGTCAGATGCCTTCTATGACCTCCTGTCACAGGTGCTGGCTAAAGTGGCCCCTCGGGATAGAGTCATCATGTTGGGTGACTTCAATGCCCGAGTTGGTCATGATACTGGCACCTGGTCTGGAGTGATTGGAGGGCATGGGCCAGATCAGCTCAATAACAACGGTAGGAGGCTGCTAGATTTTTGTGCAGCCCATGGGCTTGTAATTACCAACACGCTGTTCCGGCATCGGCGCATCCACACAACATCATGGATGCATGCCGGGTCCAAGCAAGAACATCTGCTGGACTACATAGTGACGGACCAGCGAATACGAGCCCATGTCCTTGACACCAGGACCTACCGTGGAGCTGATCTGCCCTCTGACCATCGACTAGTCATCTGTAAGATGCGCCTGCCATTCTTCCACTCCGGTGGTGGGTGTACACCCAGGACCCCATTCCAACCTAAAGTGGCCTGGTCTCAGTTATCTGATGAAAGTTGCAAGCGAGAATTTCATCATCGCTTGCGGCTGGGATTGGCATCGTCCCCGACTCCTCCTGATGTCGAGGGTAAATGGGCGAGGTTTAGGACTGTGACTCATGCAGCTGCAATGGCTGCTTTGGGTACGCGGTCCAGACCTCCCCAGACACCCTGGATGACAGAGGAGTTGTTCAGGATGGTTGAGAAAAAGCGACAGGCCCACTGTCATCGGCTACAGAATCCCACGTCAGAGAATGAGGAGGCTTACCGCAGCCTTCGCTCGGAGGTTCGGAGAGCCGTGAGGCGCTGCAAGGATGGGTGGTGGTCGCGGGTTGCTGAGGAGATGGAGTCTGCCTCAGTGGCCCGTGATCACAAATCTCTATTGAACTCCATCAAAAAAGTAACCTGCAGCGCCACACCGATTACCATCAATTGGGGGAAAAAACGGTGATCCAATTTCCGACCCCCAGGAACAGGTTCGCAGATTTGCTGAGCATTTCTGTGAGGTCCTGGGGGAGGGAAAATCCCTCAGCCAGGAAAACATCGTGGCACAAAGTGAGGATGACCCTGCTGAGGCTGCGGTGCCTCAAATATTGGATGAAGTCACCCCCTGTGAGTGGCTGGCTGAGGTGCCATCTGCTGAGGAAGTATTGAAGGCGATCCGGAGTCTGAGACCAGGAAAGGCAGCGGGCAGAGATGATCTCCCAAGCGAAATGCTGAGGGAGGGTGGCGTTTGTGCACAGACTGCCCTATATGACATCATAACAACAGTCTGGACCACTGGACGGGTTCCGCAGGATTGGAAGGATGCCCTGGTGGTCCCCCTTTTTAAGAAGGGGGACCGCACAGACTGTAACAACTACAGGGGCATCTCACTCCTCAGTGTGCCGGGAAAGGTCCTGGCAAGGATTATTCAGCATCGCCTTGCCAGGCACGCTGAGGAGAGGCTTGCGGAGCCCCAATGCGGTTTCAGGAAAGGGCGGTCCTGCACAGATGCCATATTTTCTGTCCGTCTGCTACAGCAGAGGTGTAGGGAATTCCAACAAGACCTACATCTCTGCTTTATTGACCTGGTCAAGGCCTATGATACCATCAGTAGGCCTGGGCTCTGGGTCGTTCTTCGTGCTTTTGGAGTACCTGACCCTCTGCTCACGATCATTAAGGACCTTCATGATGGTGAGCGGGCCCGGGTAAAACTACGTGGCCGGGAGTCAGAGCCATTCCCTGTACACCTTGGGGTGCGACAGGGATGTCCTCTGGCTCCCACATTATTTAACATCTATTTTGACCACGTAGTTCGTGAAGCCTTCAATAGCTGTACCGGGGGAATCTCCATATGGTACAGATATAATGGGAGGCTAATCGATGCCCGGGTGCGGTCAAGGGATGGCTCCCTATTGCTCAACCACGTTATGTATGCTGATGACTTGGTAATAGCTGCTCAGTCAGAGGAGGAGTTGGAGACGCTGCTGCTGAGACTGGAGCGTGCCACTAAGAGGTGGGGCCTTACCATCAGCCCCACCAAAACTAAGCACCTGCCTGGGTATTTTGTACCATCGGACACTCCACCCCCACAACTCCCAATCGGTGATGGGGCAGTTGTGGAGAGAGTGGAGAGTTTCCCATACCTGGGCAGTGTGCTTATGACTGGCTCCAGTTTAACAGCAGAGGTCTCACTCCGAATCAGTCGAGCGGCAATATCTTTTCATCGGTTGCGTAACGCTGTGTGGAAGCTACCTGGTCTGTCGCTCCGCACTAAGCTTCAGGTCTTCTCGGCCACGATCATTCCCTCCCTTCTCTACGCTTGCGAAACGTGGACCCCCCTAATGGAACATCTTCGCCGGTTAGACACATTTAGGCTGGCCTGCCTACGATCCATCCTGGGTTTAACCAGGCTGGATTGTGTGAGGAGCTCAAAAATCCTTGAAAGATCTGGGCAGGGTCCCATCGGTGAGCTCCTCCGGCAGGCAAGGCTGCGATGGCTGGGTCATGTAGCCCGCATGCCCAGCCACCGCATGCCGAAACAGCTTTTGTTTGGCCGGATTGAGGGGGCTAAGCGGGCGCGGCACGGGCTAGAGAAGAGATGGAGTGATGTGGTACAGGAGGACGTGGAGCTGAGTGGACTTGCCGATGACTGGTACCAGCGGTGTCAAGGATGCTACTGGGCAGTTGGAGGCAGTCGCCCTCCAACAACAACGGAGGGCGGAGGAGCGACGCTCACAACAGCGAGCGGAGCGCCGGGTGGCTAAAGCACAGCAGGTTGGCACAGTAGGGGGCACAGGTGGTGCATCAGCCAGTCATCTCAGTCAGTCGACCCGTGGCACCTGGGTCTGCCCCGTGACCTGCCAGCGGGCGTTCGACACTTCACGTGGCCTCAGGGTGCACATAGCCTGGCACAAGCGTCGTGGTGACGTCACCGCCACTTAGTGGCGAATGGCGGTTGTTGTTGTTGTTGTGTGACACTGTGTGTGTGTGTGACACTGTGTGTGTGTGACACTGTGTGTGTGTGACACTGTGTGTGTGTGACACTGTGTGTGTGTGTGTGTGACACTGTGTGTGTGACACTGTGTGTGTCATTGTGTGTGCGTGACACTGTGTGCGCGTGACACTGTGTGCGTGACACTGTGTGTGTGTGTGTGACACTGTGTGTGCGTGACACTGTGTGCGTGACACTGTGTGTCATTGTGTGTGCGTGACACTGTGTGTGTGACACTGTGTGCGTGACACTGTGTGTGTGTGTGACACTGTGTGTGTGTGACACTGTGTGTGTGTGTGACACTGTGTGTGTGACACTGTGTGTGTGACACTGTGTGCGTGTGCGTGACACTGTGTGTGTGTGTGCGTGACACTGTGTGTGTGTGTGCGTGACACTGTGTGTGTGCGTGACACTGTGTGTGTGTGTGCGTGACACTGTGTGTGACACTGTGTGCGTGACACTGTGTGTGACACTGTGTGTGTGTGTGTGTGACACTGTGTGTGACACTGTGTGTGTGACACTGTGTGTGACACTGTGTGTGTGTGTGACACTGTGTGACACTGTGTGTGACACTGTGTGTGTCATTGTGTGTGTGTGACACTGTGTGTGTGTGACATTGTGTGTGTGTGACACTGTGTGTGTGTGACACTGTGTGTGTGTGTGTGTGACACTGTGTGTGTCATTGTGTGTGCGTGACACTGTGTGCGCGTGACACTGTGTGCGTGACACTGTGTGTGTGCGTGACACTGTGTGTGCGTGACACTGTGTGTGCGTGACACTGTGTGTGCGTGACACTGTGTGTCATTGTGTGTGCGTGACACTGTGTGTGTGACACTGTGTGCGTGACACTGTGTGTGTGTGTGACACTGTGTGTGTGTGTGACACTGTGTGTGTGTGTGACACTGTGTGTGTGTGTGACACTGTGTGTGTGTGTGTGTGACACTGTGTGTGTGACACTGTGTGCGTGACACTGTGTGTGTGTGTGACACTGTGTGTGCGTGACACTGTGTGCGTGACACTGTGTGTCATTGTGTGTGCGTGACACTGTGTGTGTGACACTGTGTGCGTGACACTGTGTGTGTGTGACACTGTGTGTGTGTGACACTGTGTGTGTGTGTGACACTGTGTGTGTGTGTGACACTGTGTGTGTGTGTGACACTGTGTGTGTGTGTGACACTGTGTGTGTCATTGTGTGTGCGTGACACTGTGTGCGCGTGACACTGTGTGCGTGACACTGTGTGTGTGTGTGACACTGTGTGTGCGTGACACTGTGTGCGTGACACTGTGTGTCATTGTGTGTGCGTGACACTGTGTGTGTGACACTGTGTGCGTGACACTGTGTGTGTGTGACACTGTGTGTGTGTGTGACACTGTGTGTGTGTGTGACACTGTGTGTGTGTGTGACACTGTGTGTGTGTGACACTGTGTGCGTGTGTGACACTGTGTGCGTGTGCGTGACACTGTGTGTGTGTGTGCGTGACACTGTGTGTGTGCGTGACACTGTGTGTGTGTGTGCGTGACACTGTGTGTGTGTGTGCGTGACACTGTGTGTGACACTGTGTGTGACACTGTGTGTGTGTGTGTGTGACACTGTGTGTGACACTGTGTGTGTGTGTGACACTGTGTGTGACACTGTGTGTGTGACACTGTGTGTGTCATTGTGTGTGTGTGACACTGTGTGTGTGTGACACTGTGTGTGTGTGACACTGTGTGTGTGTGTGTGTGACACTGTGTGTGTGACACTGTGTGTGTCATTGTGTGTGCGTGACACTGTGTGCGCGTGACACTGTGTGCGTGACACTGTGTGTGTGTGTGACACTGTGTGTGCGTGACACTGTGTGCGTGACACTGTGTGTCATTGTGTGTGCGTGACACTGTGTGTCATTGTGTGTGCGTGACACTGTGTGTGTGACACTGTGTGCGTGACACTGTGTGTGTGTGTGACACTGTGTGTGTGTGTGACACTGTGTGTGTGTGTGACACTGTGTGTGTGTGACACTGTGTGCGTGTGTGACACTGTGTGCGTGTGTGACACTGTGTGCGTGTGCGTGACACTGTGTGTGTGTGTGCGTGACACTGTGTGTGTGTGTGCGTGACACTGTGTGTGTGTGTGCGTGACACTGTGTGTGTGTGACACTGTGTGTGACACTGTGTGTGTGTGTGTGACACTGTGTGTGACACTGTGTGTGTGTGACACTGTGTGTGACACTGTGTGTGTGTGACACTGTGTGTGTGCGTGTGTGTGTGTGACACTGTGTGTGTGACACTGTGTGTGTGACACTGTGTGTGTGACACTGTGTGTGTGTGACACTGTGTGTGTGTGTGACACTGTGTGTGTGACACTGTGTGTGTGTGTGACACTGTGTGTGTGTGTGACACTGTGTGTGTGTGCGCGTGACACTGTGTGTGCGTGACACTGTGTGTGTGAGACTGTGTGCGTGACACTGTGTGCGTGACACTGTGTGTGTGTGTGTGTGCGTGACACTGTGTGTGTGTGTGTGTGCGTGACACTGTGTGTGTGTGTGTGTGCGTGACACTGTGTGTGTGTGTGTGCGTGACACTGTGTGTGTGTGTGTGCGTGACACTGTGTGTGTGTGTGTGCGTGACACTGTGTGTGTGTGTGTGTGCGTGACACTGTGTGTGTGTGTGTGTGCGTGACACTGTGTGTGTGTGTGTGTGCGTGACACTGTGTGTGTGTGTGTGTGCGTGACACTGTGTGTGTGTGTGTGTGCGTGACACTGTGTGTGTGTGTGTGTGCGTGACACTGTGTGTGTGTGTGTGTGCGTGACACTGTGTGTGTGTGTGTGTGCGTGACACTGTGTGTGTGTGTGTGTGCGTGACACTGTGTGTGTGTGTGTGTGCGTGACACTGTGTGTGTGTGTGTGTGCGTGACACTGTGTGTGTGTGTGTGTGCGTGACACTGTGTGTGTGTGCGTGACACTGTGTGTGTGTGCGTGACACTGTGTGTGTGTGCGTGACACTGTGTGTGTGTGCGTGACACTGTGTGTGTGTGCGTGACACTGTGTGTGTGTGCGTGACACTGTGTGTGTGTGCGTGACACTGTGTGTGTGTGCGTGACACTGTGTGTGTGTGCGTGACACTGTGTGTGTGTGCGTGACACTGTGTGTGTGTGCGTGACACTGTGTGTGTGTGCGTGACACTGTGTGTGCGTGACACTGTGTGCGTGCGTGACACTGTGTGCGTGCGTGACACTGTGTGTGCGTGCGTGACACTGTGTGTGTGTGTGTGACACTGTGTGTGACACTGTGTGTGTGTGTGTGACACTGTGTGTGACACTGTGTGTGTGTGTGTGACACTGTGTGTGACACTGTGTGTGTGTGTGTGACACTGTGTGACACTGTGTGTGTGTGTGTGACACTGTGTGACACTGTGTGTGTGTGTGTGACACTGTGTGTGTGACACTGTGTGTGTGTGTGTGACACTGTGTGTGTGACACTGTGTGTGTGTGTGTGACACTGTGTGTGTGACACTGTGTGTGTGTGACACTGTGTGTGTGACACTGTGTGTGTGACACTGTGTGTGTGACACTGTGTGTGTGTGTGACACTGTGTGTGTGTGTGACACTGTGTGTGACACTGTGTGTGTGTGACACTGTGTGTGTGACACTGTGTGTGTGACACTGTGTGTGTGTGTGACACTGTGTGTGAGTGTGACACTGTGTGACACTGTCTGTGTGTGTTTGGCTCTGTGTGTGCCTTTGTGTGTGGTGGACGTAGCCCCCTCCCCCACTGCAGCCCAGCATCTGGGGCTCCCCACCTGCCCACGTGATGAGTCAGCTGACCCACAGCCTGCCCCCGTCACTCATGGTGAGTGCTGCCCCCCCCCCCCGATCCTATAACCCCCCCTCCCAATCCTTCAAGTGTTCCCCCCACTAATCCTATAATCATTGCCACTAATCCCACACTTGCCCTACCACTAATCCTACAATCATCCCCACTAATCTTACACTTACCCTACCACTGATCCTACACTTGCCCTCCCCCACTAATCCTACAAGTGTTCCCCCCACTAATCCTACAAGTGTTCCCCCCACTAATCCTACACTTACCCCCCACTAATCCTACAAGTCTTCCCCCCACTAATCCTACACTTACCCCCCACTAATCCTACAAGTGTTCCCCCCACTAATCCTACACTTACCCCCCACTAATCCTACAAGTGTGCCCCCCACTAATCCTACAATCATCCCCACTAATCCTACACTTGCCCTACCACTAATCCTATTAGTGTTCCCCCCACTAATCCTACAAGTGTTCCCCCCACTAATCCTACAAGTCTTCCCCCCACTAATCCTACACTTACCCTACCACTAATCCTACAAGTGTTCCCCCCACTAATCCTATAATCATTGCCACTAATCCTACACTTACCCTACCACTAATCCTACAATCACTGCCACTAATCCTACACTTACCCTACCACTAATCGTACAAGTGTTCCCCCCACTAATCCTACAAGTGTTCCCGCCACTAATCCTACAATCATCCCCACTAATCCTACACTTACCCTCCCACTAATCCTACAATCATCCCCACTAATCCTACACTTACCCTACCACTAATCCTACAAGTGTTCCCCCCACTAATCCTACAAATCTTCCCCCCACTAATCCTACAAGTGTTCCCCCCACTAATCCTACACTTACCCTACCACTAATCCTACACTTACCCTACCACTAATCCTATAATCATTGCCACTAATCCCACACTTACCCTACCACTAATCCTACACTTGCCCTACCACTAATCCTACACTTACCCCCCCCCCCCCACTAATCCTACAAGTGTTCCCCCCACTAATCCTACACTTGCCCTACCACTAATCCTACACTTGCCCTACCACTAATCCTACAAGTGTTCCCCCCACTAATCCTACACTTACCCCCCCCACTAATCCTACAAGTCTTCCCCCCACTAATCCTACACTTACCCCCCCACTAATCCTACAAGTGTTCCCCCCACTAATCCTACACTTACCCCCCCCCCCACTAATCCTACAAGTCTTCCCCCCACTAATCCTACACTTACCCCCCCCCACGAATCCTACAAGTGTTCCCCCCACTAATCCTACACTTGCCCTACTAATCCTACAAGTGTTCCCCCCACTAATCCTACACTTACCCCCCCCACTAATCCTACAAGTCTTCCCCCCACTAATCCTACACTTACCCACCCCCACTAATCCTACAAGTCTTCCCCCCACTAATCCTACACTTACTCCCCCCACTAATCCTACAAGTGTTCCCCCCACTAATCCTACACTTGCCCTACTAATCCTACAAGTGTTCCCCCCACTAATCCTACAAGTGTTCCCCCCACTAATCCTACACTTACCCCCCCCACTAATCCTACAAGTCTTCCCTCCACTAATCCTACACTTACCCCCCCACTAATCCTACAAGTGTTCCCCCCACTAATCCTACACTTACCCCCCCCCCACTAATCCTACAAGTGTGCCCCCCACTAATCCTACAATCATCCCCACTAATCCTACACTTGCCCTACCACTAATCCTATTAGTGTTCCCCCCACTAATCCTACAAGTGTTCCCCCCACTAATCCTACAAGTCTTCCCCCCACTAATCCTACACTTACCCCCCCCCCCCCCCCCACTAATCCTACAAGTGTCCCCCCCACTAATCCTACAATCATCGCCACTAATCCTACACTTGCCCTACCACTAATCCTACACTTACCCTACCACTAATCCTACACTTGCCCTACCACTAATCCTATTAGTGTTCCCCCCACTAATCCTACAAGTGTTCCCCCCACTAATCCTACAAGTCTTCCCCCCACTAATCCTACACTTACCCCCCCACTAATCCTACAAGTGTCCCCCCCCACTAATCCTACAATCATCGCCACTAATCCTACACTTACCCTACCACTAATCCTATTAGTGTTCCCCCCACTAATCCTACAATCATGGCCACTAATCCTTCACTTACCCCCCCCCCCCCCCACTATCCCTTCAATCGTTCCCCCCACTAATGCTCCAATTCCGCCCACCTCAGGACCGCTCGCTGCTTCATGCGATGGAGTGTGGTGGTGGTGGTGGTGGTGGCGGTGGAGCTCCACCCCTCATGGTGGAGGAGCTGGAGAGGAGTTTGGTGGGGGGCCCCCCACCACTGAGACAGCCCCAGGCCTTCGGGACCCCCCCCACGTACCCCCCACCACCACCGTCACTGCAGCAGCAGCTGCTGATGCAGCAGCTACAGCAGCAGCAGCAGCAGCATCAGCAGCAGCAGCACGTGAGAGATTTGGGTGGTTGGACTCTCGTTTGGAGTGGGGTGGGTGGTTGGTAGGTTGGTGTGGTGGGTGGTATGTTGTGGTGGGTGGGTGGTTTGGTGGGATGGTGGGTGATTGGTTGGGGTGGTGGGTGATTGGTTGGGGTGGTGGGTGGTAGGTTGGGGTGGTAGGTTGGGGTGGTGGGTGGGTGGTAGGTTGGGGTGGTGGGTGGGTGGTTGGTTGGTTGGTTGGGGTGGTAGGTGGTTGGTTGGTTGGGGTGGTGGTTGGTGGGTGATTGGTTGGGGTGGTGGGTGGTTGGTTGGGGTGGTGGGTGGGTGGTTGGTTGTGGTGTTGGTTGGTTGGGGTGGTGGGTGGTTGGTTGGGGTGGTGGGTGGGTGGTTGGTTGTGGTGTTGGTTGGTTGGGGTGGTGGGTGGTTGGTTGGGTTGGTTGGTGGGTGGGTGGGTTGGTTGGTTGGGGTGGTTGGTTGGTTGGTTGGGGTGGTGGGTGGGTGGTTGGTTGGGGGGGTGGGTGGGTGGTTGGTTGGTTGGGGGGGTGGGTGGGTGGTTGGGGTGGTTGGGTGGTTGGTTGGGGTGGTTGGGTGGTTGGTGGTGGTTGGTTGGTTGGGGTGGTTGGTGGTGGGTGGTTGCGGTTGCGGTGGGGTGGATGAGTGCGGTGGTGGTGTTGCCGGCCACCGACCCCCACTCGCCCACTCGCCCACTCGCCCACTCGCCCACTCGCCCAACACCTCTCCGTGTGCGTGTGTCCAGGTGCTGCGGGTGATGCCACCACACCTCCGTAGGCATCCGCAGCAGCACGCTGGGCTTGGAATGCCCTACGGTGGTAGGGCCTCCCCCACACACGGCCTTGGTACACAGGTGTGTGTGTACGTGTGTGTGTGTACGTGTGTGTGTGTCAAGGCGTGCGCGTGTGTGTGTGTGTGTGTGCTTACCCGCAGCCTTTGCTCGGAGGTTCGGAGAGCCGCGAGGCGCTGCAGGGATTGGGTGGCGGTCGCGGGTTGCTGAGGAGGTGGAGTCTGCCTCAGTGGCCCCTCGATCACAAATCTCTATTTAACTCCATCGAAAAAATTAACCTGCAGCGCCCACACCTATTACCATCATTAGGAGAAAGAACGGTGATCCAATCTCCGGACCCCCAGGAGCAGGTTTGCAGATTTGCTGAGCATTTCTGTGAGGTCCTGGGGGAGGGGGAATCCCTCGGCCAGGAAAACATTGTGGCACAAAGTGAGGATGACCCTGCTGAGGCTGCGGTGCCTCATTGGAAGAAGTCACCCCCTGTGAGTGGCTGGCTGAGGTGCCATCTGTTGAGGTAGTACTGAAGGCGATCCGGAGTCTGAGACCAGGAAATGCACCGGGCAGAGATGATCTCCCAAGCGAAATGCTGAGGGAGGGTGGCGTTTGTGCACAAACTGCCCTACGTGACATCATAACAACAATCTGGACCACTGGATGGGTTCTGCAAGATTGGAAGGATGCCCTGGTGGTCCCCCTCTTTAAGAAGGGGGACCGCACAGACTAACAACTACAGGGGCATCTCACTCCTCAGTGTGCCGGGAAAGGTCCTGGCAAGGATTATTCAACATCGCCTTGCCAGGCACTCTGAGGAGAGGCTTGCGGAGCCCCAATGCGGTTTCAGGAAATGGCGGTCCTGCACAGATGCCATATTTTCTGTCCGTCTGCTACAGCAGAGGTGTAGGGAATTCCAACAAGACCTACATCTCTGCTTTATTGACCTGGTCAAGGCCAATGATACCATCAGTAGGCCTGGGCTCTGGGTTGTTATTTGTGCTTTTGGAGTCCCCAACCCTCTGCTCACGATCATTAAGGACCTTCATGATGGTGAGCGGGCCCGGGTAAAACTACGTGGCCGGGAGTCAGAGCCATTCCCTGTACACCTTGGGGTGCGACAGGGATGTCCAATAGCTCCAACATTATTTAACATCTATTTCGACCACGTAGTTCGTGAAGCCTTCAATAGCTGTACCTTAGGAATTTCCATCTGGTACAGATACAATGGGAGGCTGATCGATGCCCGCGTGCTGTCAAGGGATGGCTCCCTATTGCTCAACCACGTTATATATGCCGACGACCTGGTAATTGCGGCTCACTCTGAGGAGGAGTTGGAGGCGCTGCTGCTGAAACTGGAGTGTGCCACTAACAGGTGAGGCCTTACCATCAGCCCCACCAAAACGAAGCATCTGTCTGGGTATTTTGTACCATCGGGCACTCCACCCCCACAACTCCCAATCGGTGATGGGGCAGTTGTGGAGAGAGTGGAGAGTTTCCCATACCTGGGCAGTGTGCTCATGACCGGCTCCGGTTTAACAGCAGAGGTCTCATTCCGAATCAGTCGAGCGGCAATATATTTTCATCGGTTGCATAACGCTGTGTGGAAGCTACCTGGTCTGTCGCTCCGCACTAAGCTTCAGGTCTTCTCGGCCACGGTCATTCCCTCCCTTCTCCTCGCTTGCGAAACGTGGACCCCCCTAATAGAACATCTTCGCCTGTTAGAAACATTTAGGCTGGCCTGCCTACGATCAATCCTGGGTTTAACCAGGCTGGATTGTGTGAGGGGCTCACAAATCCTCGCAAGATCTTGACAAAGTCCCATCGGTGAGCTCCTCCGGCAGGCAAGGCTGCGTTAGCTGGGTCATGTAGCCCGCATGCCCAGCCACCGCATGCCGAAACAGCTTTTGTTCGGCCGGATCGAGGGGGCTGAACGGGCGCAGCACGGGCTAGAGAAGAGATGGAGTGATGTGGTACAGGAGGACGTGGAGCTGAGACTGGAGCGTGCCACTAAGAGGTGGGGCCTTACCATCAGCCCCACCAAAACTAAGCACCTGCCTGGGTATTTTGTACCATCGGACACTCCACCCCCACAACTCCCAATCGGTGATGGGGCAGTTGTGGAGAGAGTGGAGAGTTTTCCATACCTGGGCAGTGTGCTTATGACTGGCTCCAGTTTAACAGCAGAGGTCTCACTCCGAATCAGTCGAGCGGCAATATCTTTTCATCGGTTGCGTAACGCTGTGTGGAAGCTACCTGGTCTGTCGCTCCGCACTAAGCTTCAGGTCTTCTCGGCCACGGTCATTCCCTCCCTTCTCTACGCTTGCGAAACGTGGACCCCCCTAATGGAGCATCTTCGCCGGTTAGAAACATTTAGGCTGGCCTGCCTACGATCCATCCTTGGTTTAACCAGACTGGATTGTATGAGGAGCTCACAAATCCTTGAAAGATCTGGGCAGCGTCCCATCGGTGAGCTCCTCCGGCAGGCAAGGCTGCGATGGCTGGGTCATGTAGCCCGCATGCCCAGCCACCGCATGCCGAAACAGCTTTTGTTTGGCCGGATTGAGGGGGCTAAGCGGGCGCGGCACGGGCTAGAGAAGAGATGGAGTGATGTGGTACAGGAGGACGTGGAGCTGAGTGGACTTGCCGATGACTGGTACCAGCGGTGTCAAGATCGGCCTCTGTGGAGGAGGCTCGTGAAGGATGCTACTGGGCAGTTGGAGGCAGTCGCCCTCCAACAACAACGGAGGACGGAGGAGCGACGCTCACAACAACGAGCGGGGCGCCGGGTGGCTAAAGCACAGCAGGTTGGCACAGTAAGGGGCACAGGTGGTGCATCAGCCAGTCATCTCAGTCAGTCGACCCGTGGCACCTGCTGGGTCTGCCCCGTGACCTCCTGCCAGCAGGCGTTCGACACTTCACGTGGCCTCAGGGTGCACATAGCCTGGCACAAGCGTCGTGGTGACGTCACCACCACTTAGTGGCGAATGGCGGTTGTTGTTGTGTCACTGTGTGTCACTGTGTGTGTGTGTGTGTCACTGTGTGTGTGTGTGTGTCACTGTGTGTGTGTGTGTGTGTCACTGTGTGTGTGTGTCACTGTGTGTGTGTGTGTCACTGTGTGTGTGTGTCACTGTGTGTGTCACTGTGTCACTGTGTGTGTCACTGTGTGTGTCACTGTGTGTGTGTGTGTGTCACTGTGTGTGTGTGTGTGTGTCACTGTGTGTGTGTGTGTGTGTCACTGTGTGTGTGTCACTGTGTGTGTGTGTGTGTGTCACTGTGTGTGTGTGTGTGTGTCACTGTGTGTGTGTGTGTGTGTCACTGTGTGTGTGTGTGTGTGTCACTGTGTGTGTGTGTGTGTGTCACTGTGTGTGTGTGTGTGTGTCACTGTGTGTGTGTGTGTGTGTCACTGTGTGTGTGTGTAGGGTTGTCAACTCTCTCCCCAGGCATTCGCTCAGCTGCAGAGGAACGTCGCCCTGCTGAGGCCTGGCCAGGTGAGGGGGGGGGGACCGGTGGGGGGGGGGGAGGAGTTTGTGGGACGACGCCACAACTCCACACACACCAGCCACACACACACACACCAGCCACACACACCACACACACCAGCCATACACACACACACCAGCCACACACACACCACACACCAGCCACACACACACACACCAGTGACACACACACACACCAGCCACACACACACACACCAGCCACACACACCACACACCAGCCACACACACACACACACCAGCCATACACACACACACCAGCCACACACACACACCAGCCACACACACCACACACACCAGCCATACACACACACACCAGCCACACACACACACCAGCCACACACACACTAGCCACGCACACACACTAGCCACACACACACACTAGCCACACACACGCACACACACTAGCCACACATACCCACACCAGCCACACACCCACACTAGCCACACACACCCACACCAGCCACACACACACACTAGCCACACACACCCACACCAGCCACACACACACACACACCAACCAGCCACACACACACACACCAGCCATAAACACCACACACACCAGCCACACACACACACACACACCAGCCACACACACACACACACCAACCAGCCACACACACACACCAGCCACACACACACACCAGCCACACACACACACCAGCCACACACACACACCAGCCACACACACCACACACCAGCCACACACACACACACAGTGACACACACCACACACCAGCCACACACACCACACACAGTGACACACACACACACACACCAGCCACACACACACACACACACCAGCCACACACACACCAGCCACACACACACCAGCCACACACACACACACCAACCACACACACACACACCAGCCACACACACCACACACCAGACACACACACACACACACCAGACACACACACACCAGCCACACACACCAGCCATACACACACACGCACACCAGCCACGCACACACACCAGCCACACACACACACCAGCACACACCAGCCATACACACACACCAGCCACGCACACACACCAGCCACACACACACACCAGCACACACCAGCCATACACACACACCAGCCATACACACACACCAGCCACCCACACGCGCACACCAGCCACCCACACACGCACACACACTAGCCACACACACTAGCCGCACACACACTAGCCACACACACTAGCCGCACACACACTAGCCACACACACACACGCACACACACTAGCCACACACGCACACACACTAGCCACCCACACACACGCACACACACTAGCCACCCACACACACGCCACACACACCCACACCAGCCACACACACACACACACACCAGCCACACACACACACACACACCAGCCACACACACACACACCAGCCACACACACACACCAGCCACACACACACACACACCAGCCACACACACACACACCAGCCACACACACACACCAGCCACACACACACACACACCAGCCACACACACACACACACCAGCCACACACACACACGCACACACACTAGCCACACACACGCACACACACTAGCCACCCACACACACGCCACACACACCCACACCAGCCACACACACACACACACACCAGCCACACACACACACACCAGCCACACACACACACCAGCCACACACACACACACACCAGCCACACACACACACGCACACACACTAGCCACACACACGCACACACACTAGCCACACACACACACGCACACACACTAGCCACACATACCCACACCAGCCACACACACACACCAGCCACACACACACACCAGCCACACGCACACCAGCCACACACACACCAGCCACACACACACACACCAGCCACACACATACACACACCAGCCACACACACACACACACCACCCACACACACCAGCCACACACACCACACACACACACACACCACCCACACACTAGCCACACACACACCAGCCACACACACTAGCCACACACACTAGCCACACACACACACACCAGCCACACACACTAGCCACACACACACACTAGCCACACACACACACCAGCCACACACACACACCAGCCACACACACTAGCCACTCACACACCACACCACACACACATCAGCCACCCACACACCAGACACACACAGATACACAGAGACGCATGGACTGTGTTTCACTTTGCATGTCTCTCCTCTCCTCTCCCCTCGCCCCAGGCGGGCCGCTTGAGTCCCAGCCACTTTGTCCGCCTGGGGCCCCCCCTGGGCCTGCCGGGCAGAGCCCTGGGCCCCCCCCCGCTGGGTGGGGGGGGTCCCCCCGCGCCGTCGCCTCTGCAGGCGCTGCCGCGGCCGCTCCCCCCGCCGCCATTCTACGGCGGCCTCCACCGGCACGCCCAGCCGGGCCCTCCACCCGTACAGACACTCAGGTCTCACGCTCACTCACACTCAGGTCTCACGCTCACTCTCACTCACTCTCACTCACGCTCACTCACTCACTCACGCTCACTCACGCTCACTCACGCTCACTCACACTCACTCACGCTCACTCACGCTCCCTCACACTCACTCACACTCACTTACTCACTCGCTCACTCACGCTCACTCACACGCTCACTCACACGCTCACTCTCACTCACGCTCACTCACTCTCACTCACTCGCTCACGCTCACTCTCACTCACTCACACTCACTCACACTCACTCACACTCACTCACACTCACTCACGCTCACTCACACTCACTCACACTCACTTACTCACTCGCTCACTCACGCTCACTCACACGCTCACTCTCACTCACGCTCACTCACGCTCACTCACTCACGCTCACTCACGCTCACTCACTCACGCTCACTCACTCACTCACGCTCACTCACGCTCACACACTCACACTCACTCACTCACTCACGCTCACTCACGCTCACTCACTCACACTCACTCACTCACTCACTCACGCTCACTCACGCTCACTCACTCACGCTCACTCGCGCTAACCCGCGCTCACTCGCACTAACCCGCTCACTCATGCTCACTCGCGCTCACTCACACTAACCCGCTCACTCACGCTCACTCACTCACGCTCACTCACTCACGCTCACTCGCGCTCACTCACGCTCACTCACTCTCACGCTCACTCACTCACACGCTCACTCACGCTCGCTCACGCTCGCTCACTCACGCTCACTCACTCGCGCTCACTCACGCTAACCCGCTCACTCACGCTCACTCACGCTCGCTCACTCACGCTCACTCACGCTAACCCACTCACTCACGCTCACTCACTCTCACTCACGCTCACTCACTCACGCTCACTCACGCTCACTCACTCACGCTCACTCACTCACTCACACTCACTCACTCACGCTCACTCACGCTCACTCACGCTCACTCACGCTCACTCACGCTCGCTCACTCGCTCGCTCACTCGCTCACTCACGCTCACTCACTCACGCTCGCTCACTCGCTCACTCACGCTCGCTCACTCACGCTCACTCACGCTCGCTCACGCTCGCTCACGCTCACTCGCGCTCACTCGCGCTCACTCACGCTCACTCGCGCTAACCCACTCACTCACGCTCACTCACGCTCACCCACGCTCACTCACGCTCACTCGCGCTCACTCACACACTCACACTCACTCGCACTAACTCACTCACTCACGCTCACTCACGCTTACTCACGCTCACTCACACTAACCCGCTCACTCACGCTCACTCGAGCTCACTCGAGCTCACTCGAGCTCACTCGAGCTCACTCACGCTCACTCGCGCTCACTCACACTAACCCGCTCACTCACGCTCACTCACACTAACCCGCTCACTCACGCTCACTCACGCTCACTCACACTAACCCGCTCAGTCACGCTCACTCGAGCTCACTCACGCTCACTCACACTCACTCACACTAACCCGCTCACTCACGCTCACTCACGCTCACTCACACTAACCCGCTCACTCACGCTCACTCACACTAACCCGCTCACTCACGCTCACTCACACTAACCCGCTCACTCACGCTCACTCACACTAACTCACTCACGCACGCTCGCTCGCTCACTCACGCACGCTCACTCACGCTCACTCACGCTCACTCGCGCTCACTCACACTCACTCACACTAACCCGCTCACACTAACCCGCTCACTCACGCTCACTCACCCACTCGCTCACCCGCACGCTCGCACACTCACTCACCCGCACGCTCGCCCGCACACACGCATGCCCGCTCGCTCGCTCGCACGCACGCTCACTCATTCACTCGCCCGCACTCTCGCTCACCCGCACGCATGCCCACTCACCCACTCACTCACCCACTCACTCAATCACCCGCACGCACTCGTTCACTCACGATGGCCGTGTCTGTGGGTGGGTTCACGGTGTACGAGTCGGTGGTTGTTGTGGTTAATGTAATTGTTGTTGTGGGTAATGCAATTGTTGTTGTGGGTAATGAAGTTGTTGTGGTTAATGTAATTGTTGTTGTGGTTGTTGTGGGTAATGTAATTGTTGTTGTGGTTGTTGTGGTTCAGGTTTTCCAGGCCTCAGCCGGGCGAACTCCACCCTCAGCACCGGCGACTTCTCACTCAGAGGCAACCACCACCACCAACAACCATCACAACAACAACAACCACCACCAACAACCATCACAACCACCACCAACAACAACCATCACAACAACAACCACCACCACCAACAACCATCACAACAACCACCACCACCAACAACCATCACAACAACAACCACCACATCACTACCACCAACAACCATCACAACAACAACCACCACCACATCACTACCACCAACAACCATCACAACAACAACCACCACATCACTACCACCACCACTACCACCAACAACCACCACCACATCACCTCCTCACTACCACCAACAACCATCACAACAACCATCACCACCAACAACCATCACACCAACAACGACCACCTCAGTACCACCAACAACCATCACAACAACAACAACCACCACCACATCACCACCACCACGACAACAACCACTACCACCAACAACCATCACAACAACAACAACCACCACCTCACTACCACCAACAACCATCACAACAACAACCACCACCACCTCACTACCACCACCACTACACCACTATCACCACCACCACCACCACGACAACAACCATCACCACCAACAACCGCCATTCGCCACTAAGTGGCGGTGACGTCACCACGACGCTTGTGCCAGGCCATGTGCACGTTGAGGCCACGTGGAGTGTCGAACGCCCGCTGGCAGGAGGTCACGGGGCAGACCCAGGTGCCACGTGTCGACTGACTAAGATGACTGGCTGATGCACCACCTGTGCCCCCTACTGTGACAACCTGCTGTGCTTTAGCCACCCGGCGCTCCGCTCGTTGTTGTGAGCGTCGCTCCTCCGCCCTCCATTGTTGTTGGAGGACGACTGCCTCCAACTGCCCAGTAGCAGAGTCCTTCACGAGCCTCCTCCACAGAGGCCGATCTTGACACCGCTGGTACCAGTCATCGGCAAGTCCACTCAGCTCCACGTCCTCCTGTATCACATCACTCCATCTCTTCTCTAGCCCGTGCCGCGCCCGTTTTGCCCCCTCAATCCGGCCGAACAAAAGCTGTTTGGGCATGCGGTGGCTGGGCATGCAGGCTACATGACCCAGCCAATGCAGCCTTGCCTGCCAAAGGAGCTCACCGATTGAACTTTGTCCAGATCTTTCAAGGATTTTTGAGCTCGCACAATCCAGCCTGGTTTAACCCAGGATGGATTTCTAACCGGTGAAGATGTTCCATTTATGGGGGTCTACGTTTCGCAAGCGTGGAGAAGGGAGGGAATGACCGTGGCCGAGAAGACCTGAAGCTTCGTGCGGAGCGACAGACCAGGTAGCTTCCACACAGCGTTACGCAACCGATGAAAAGATAATGCCGGTCGACTGATTCGGAGTGAGACCTCTGCTGTCAAACCAGAGCCGGTCATGAGCACACTGCCTAGGTATGGGAAACTCTCCACTATCTCCACAACTGCCCCATCACCGATTGGGAGTTGTGGGGGTGGAGTGTCCGATGGTACAAAATACCCAGGCAGGTGCTGAGTTTTGGTGGGGCTGATAGTAAGGCCCCACCTCTTAGTGGCACGCTCCAGTCTCGGCAGCAGCGCCTCCAACTCCTCCTCTGAATGAGCAGCTATTACCAAATCATCGGCATACATAACGTGGTTGACCAATAGGGAGCCATCATTTGACCGCACCCAGGCGTCGATCAGCCTCCCATTGTATCTGTACCAGATGAAAATTCTTCCGGTACATCTATTGAAGGCTTCATGAACTACGTGGTCAAAATAGATATTAAATAATGTGGGAGCCAGAGGACATCCCTGTCGCACCCCAAGGTGTACAGGGAATGGCTCCGACTCCCGGCCACGTAGTTTTACCTGGGCCCGTTCACCATCATGGAGGCCCTTAATGATCGTGAGGGACAAAAGCACGAAGAACAACCCAGAGTCCAGGCCTACTGATGGTATCATAGGCCTTGACCAGGTCAATAAAGCAGAGATGTAGTTTTTGCTGGAATTCCCTACACCTCTGCTGTAGCAGACGGACAGAAAATATGGCATCTGTGCAGGACCGCCCTTTCCTGAAACCGCATTGGGGCGCCGCAAGCCTTTCCCGGCACACTGAGGAGTGAGATGCCCCTGTCGTTGTTAGTCTGTGCGGTCTCCCTTCTTAAAGAGGGGGACCACCAGGGCATCCTTCCAATCTTGCAGAACCCGTCCAGTGGTCCAGATTGTTGTTATGATGTCATGTAGGGCAGTCTGTGCACAAACGCCACCCTCCCTCAGCATTTCGCTTGGGAGATCATCTCTGCCCGGTGCCTTTCCTGGTCTCAGGCTCTGGATCGCCTTCAATACTTCCTCAACAGATGGCACCTCAGCCAGCCACTCACAGGGGGGGTGACTTCTTCCAATATTTGAGGCACCGCAGCCTCAGCAGGGTCATCCCCACTTTGTCCCACGTTGTTATCCAGGCTAAGGGATTTCCCCTCCTCCAGGACCTCAGAAATGCTCAAAATCTGCAAACCTGTTCCTGGGGGTCAGAGATTGGATCACCGTTCTTTCCCCTAATGATGGTAATAGGTGTGGCGCTGCAGGTTACTTTTTTATGGAATTAAAGAGCGCTTTATGATCGCGGGCCATTGAGGCAGACTCCATCTCCTCAGCAACCCGCGACCACCACCCATCCTTGCAGCGCCTCACGGCTCTCCGAACCTCCGAGCGAAGGCTGCGGTAAGCCTCCTCATTCTCCGACGTGGGATGCTGTAGCCGATGAGAGTGGGCCTGTCGCTTTTTCCCAGCCAGCTTTAACACCACCTCTGTCAGCCAGGGTCTCTGGAGAGGTCTGGACCGTATACTCAAAGCAGCCATTGCAGCTGCATGAGCCACAGTCCGAAACCTCGCCCATTTACCCTCGACATCAGGAGGAGTGGGGGACGATGCCAACCCCAGCCGCAAGCGATGATGAAATTCTCGCTTGCAACTTTGATCAGCTAGCTGAGACCAGGCCACTAAGGGTTTGAATGGGGTCCTGGGTGTACACCCACCACCGGAGTGGAAGAATGGCAGGCGCATCTTACAGATGACAAGTCGATGGTCAGAGGGCAGATCAGCTCCACGGTAGGTCCTGGTGTCAAGGACATGGGCTCGCATCCGCTGTTCCATGCATCCATGATGTTGTGTGGATGCGCCGATGCCGGAGCAGCGTGTTGGTAATTACAATCCCATAGGCTGCACAAAAAATCTAGCAGCCTCCTGCCGTTGTTATTGAGCTGATCCGGCCCATGCCCTCCAATCACTCCAGACCAGGTGCCAGCATCGTGACCAACTCTGGCATTGAAAGTCACCCAACGAGATGACTCTACCCCGAGGGGCCGCCTTAGCCAGCACCTGTGACGGGAGGTCACAGGAAGCCATCCGACTCGCCGGCCTTGCCCGCATCCCTCCACCACGGATGTTCGCCCTCGGTGGTGACTCTACCGAAAGAACCAACGATTTGAATCCCTGCAGGTCACAGGAAGCCATCCGACTCGCCGGCCTTGCCCGCATCCCTCCACCACGGATGTTCGCCCTCGGTGGTGACTCTACCGAAAGAACCAACGATTTGAATCCCCGCAGGTCACAGAAAGGCATCCGACTCGCCGGCCTTGCCCGCATCCCTCCACCACGGATGTTCGCCCTCGGTGGTGACTCTACCGAAAGAACCAACGATTTGAATCCCCGCAGGTCACAGAAAGGCATCCGACTCGCCGGCCTTGCCCGCATCCCTCCACCACGGATGTTCGCCCTCGGTGGTGACTCTACCGAAAGAACCAACGATTTGAATCCCCGCAGGTCACGAAAGCTTTTAAACATCGTTAGGTAGGGTGGGGTTGGGGGTTGGGGGTTGGGGGTTGTTTTGCCGGACACTCGCCACAACCATCCCACACACCCCCCCCCCCCCCCTCTCCTCCGCCACAGGCAACAGAGGTGTGGCCAAGGGGTTGAGAATGGCGGCGGCTTGGAACGTCGGCGCCACGGGCAGCTCAAGGAAGCCCCTGGCGACCGCAGTGACCCCTATGCCAACCTCATGACGCAGCGCGAGAAGGATTGGGTCGTCAAGATCCAGATGATGCAGCTGAACAACGGTGGCGGTGGTGGTGGCGGTGGTGGCGGTGGTGGCGGTGGTGGCGGGCTGATGGAGAGGCTTGGCAGCTACCACGACTTCTACTATCAGGTGGGGGAAACGCAGCAGCAGCAGCCAGCAGCAGCCAGCAGCCAGCAGCACCACCACACGGCCATCGCCATCGCCAACACCAGCACACGGCCGCCACCACCACCACCACCACACGGCCACCACCACCACATGGCCATCACCACCACACGGCCACCAACACACAGCCACCACCAGACGGCCACCACCACCGCCACCACACGGCCACCACACGGCCACCACCAGACAGCCACCACCACCACACGGCCATCATCACCACACGGCCGCCACCACCACACGGCCACCACCACACAGCCACCACCACCACCACACGGCCACCACCACCACCACACGGCCACCACCACCGCCACCACACGGCCATCACCCCACAGCCACCACCAGACAGCCGCCACCACCACCACCACACGGCCATAGCCACCACCACCACCACACGGCCATCGCCACCACCACCACACGGCCATCGCCACCACCACCACACGGCCATCGCCACCACCACCACGGCCATCACCACCACACGGCCATCACCACCACACGGCCACCACCACCACACGGCCATCACCACCACACGGCCACCACCACACAGCCACCACCACACAGCCACCACCACACAGCCACCACCACACAGCCACCACCACACAGCCACCACCAGACAGCCACCACCACCACACCGCCACACGGCCACCACCACCATACGGCCACCACCAGCACACGGCCACCACCACCACCACCACCACCATACGGCCACCACACAGTGTGTGTGTTGGTGTGTGCGTGGGTGGCGGTGACACGTAGTGGTGGTGGTGTATCTGTGTGTGTTTGTAGGCGTGCTTTGAGAAGCTGTATGGGTGTATGTGTGTGTGTGTGACACGTGGTGGTGTGTGTGTGTGTGACACGTGGTGGTGTGTGTGTGTGTGTGTGACACGTGGTGGTGTGTGTGTGTGTGTGTGACACGTGGTGGTGTGTGTGTGTGTGTGTGACACGTGGTGGTGTGTGTGTGTGTGTGTGACACGTGGTGGTGTGTGTGTGTGTGTGTGACACGTGGTGGTGTGTGTGTGTGTGTGACACGTGGTGGTGGTGTGTGTGTGTGTGACATGTAGTGGTGGTGGTATGTGTGTGTGACATGTAGTGGTGGTGGTATGTGTGTGTACACGTGGTGGTGTGTATGTGTGTGTGTGTGACACGTGGTGGTGTGTATGTGTGTGTGTGTGACACGTGGTGGTGTGTATGTGTGTGGGTGACACGTGGTGGTGTATGTGTGTGTGTGTGACACGTAGTGGTGGTGTATGTGTGTGTGTGTGACACGTAGTGGTGGTGTATGTGTGTGGGTGACACGTGGTGTGTATGTGTGTGTGTGACACGTAGTGGTGGTGTATGTGTTTGTGTGACACGTAGTGGTGGTGTATGTGTGTGTGTGACACGTAGTGGTGGTGTATGTGTGTGTGACACGTGGTGGTGGTGTGTGTGACACGTGGTGGTGTGTGTGTGTGACACGTGGTGTGTGTGTGTGTGTGTGACACGTGGTGTGTGTGTCTCTCCGTGACACGTGGTGTGTGTGTCTCTCCGTGTGTGTGTCTCTCCGTGTGTGTGTGACGCGTGGTGGTGTGTGTGTGTGTGACGCGTGGTGGTGTGTGTGTGTGTGACACGTGGTGTGTGTGTGTGTGACACGTGGTGTGTGTGTGTGTGACACGTGGTGTGTGTGTGTGTGTGTGACTGGTGGTGTGTGTGTGTGTGTCTCTCCGTGTGTGTGTGTGTGTGTGACACGTGGTGTGTGTGTGTGTGACACGTGGTGTGTGTGTGTGTGACACGTGGTGTGTGTGTGTGTGACACGTGGTGTGTGTGTGTGTGTCTCTCCGTGTGTGTGTGTGTAGGCGTACTTTGAGAAGTTGGAGCGTCGTCTGTGGGCACGCAGCGTGGACTCTGAGCGGGAGCATCGCGAGCCCCTGAGGCTCAACACTCCACAGCTGGCACGAGTGGAGCACACCTACACACCTGGTAGTGCACACACACACCTGGTAGTGTGCACACACACACCTGGTAGTGCACACACACACACACACACACCTGGTAGTGCGCACACACACACACCTGGTAGTGCACACACCTACACACCTGGTAGTGCACACACACACACCTGGTAGTGCACACCTACACACCTACACACCTGGTAGTGCACACCTACACACCTACACACCTGGTAGTGCGCACACACACCTACACACCTGGTAGTGCGCACACACACCTACACACCTGGTAGTGCACACATACACACCTGGTAGTGTGCACACATACACACCTGGTAGTGCACACACACCTACACACCTGGTAGTGCACACACACCTACACACCTGGTAGTGCACACACACCTATACACCTACACACCTGGTAGTGCACACCTACACACCTGGTAGTGCACACACACACCTGGTAGTGCACACACACACCTGGTAGTGCACACACACACCTACACACCTGGTAGTGCACACACACCTACACACCTGGTAGTGCACACACACCTACACACCTACACACCTGGTAGTGCATACACACCTACACACCTGGTAGTGCACACCTACACACCTGGTAGTGCACCTACACACCTAGACACCTGGTAGTGCGCCTAGACACCTACACACCCAGTAGTGCACCTAGACACCTGGTAGTGCACACACCTGGTAGTGCACCTAGACACATACACACCTGGTAGTGCACACACCTGGTAGTGCACCTAGTCACCTACACACCTGGTAGTGCACCTAGTCACCTGGTAGTGCGCGCACCACCACTACGACGACTACTACAAGCACCACCTACTGTCTCACCGTGCGCGTGTGTGTGTCTGTCTCACCGTGTGTCTCACCGTGTGTGTCTCTGTCTCACTGTGTGTCTCACCGTGTGTGTCTCTGTCTCACTGTGTGTCTCACCGTGTGTGTCTCTGTCTCACTGTGTGTCTCACTGTGTGTGTCTCTGTCTCACTGTGTGTCTCACTGTCTCACCGTGTGTGTGTGTGTGTCTCACCGTGTGTCTCACCGTGTGTGTCTCTGTCTCACTGTGTGTCTCACTGTGTGTGTGTTTGTCTCACTGTGTGTGTCTCACTGTGTGTGTCTCACTGTGTGTGTGTGTCTCACTGTGTGTGTGTCTCACTGTGTGTGTGTCTCACTGTGTGTGTGTCTCACTGTGTGTGTGTGTCTCACCGTGTGTGTCTCACCGTGTGTGTCTCACCGTGTGTGTCTCACTGTGTGTCTCTGTCTCACTGTGTGTGTGTCTCACTGTGTGTGTGTGTGTGTCTGTGTCTCACCGTGTGTGTGTGTGTCTGTGTCTCACCGTGTGTGTGTGTGTGTGTCTGTGTCTCACCGTGTGTGTGTGTGTGTCTGTGTCTCACCGTGTGTGTGTGTGTGTGTCTGTGTCTCACCGTGTGTGTGTGTGTGTGTCTGTGTCTCACCGTGTGTGTGTGTGTGTGTGTCTGTGTCTCACCGTGTGTGTGTGTGTGTGTCTGTGTCTCACCGTGTGTGTGTGTGTGTGTCTGTGTCTCACCGTGTGTGTGTGTGTGTGTCTGTGTCTCACCGTGTGTGTGTGTGTGTGTCTGTGTCTCACCGTGTGTGTGTGTGTGTGTCTGTGTCTCACCGTGTGTGTGTGTGTGTGTCTGTGTCTCACCGTGTGTGTGTGTGTGTGTCTGTGTCTCACCGTGTGTGTGTGTGTGTGTCTGTGTCTCACCGTGTGTGTGTGTGTGTGTCTGTGTCTCACCGTGTGTGTGTGTGTGTGTCTGTGTCTCACCGTGTGTGTGTGTGTGTGTCTGTGTCTCACCGTGTGTGTGTGTGTGTGTCTGTGTCTCACCGTGTGTGTGTGTGTGTGTCTGTGTCTCACCGTGTGTGTGTGTGTGTGTCTGTGTCTCACCGTGTGTGTGTGTGTGTGTCTGTGTCTCAGCGTGTGTGTGTGTGTGTGTCTGTGTCTCACCGTGTGTGTGTGTGTGTGTGTCTGTGTCTCACCGTGTGTGTGTGTGTGTGTGTCTGTGTCTCACCGTGTGTGTGTGTGTGTGTCTGTGTCTCACCGTGTGTGTGTGTGTGTGTCTGTGTCTCACCGTGTGTGTGTGTGTGTGTCTGTGTCTCACCGTGTGTGTGTGTGTGTCTGTGTCTCACCGTGTGTGTGTGTGTGTGTCTGTGTCTCACCGTGTGTGTGTGTGTGTGTCTGTGTCTCACCGTGTGTGTGTGTGTGTGTCTGTGTCTCACCGTGTGTGTGTGTGTGTGTCTGTGTCTCACCGTGTGTGTGTGTGTGTGTCTGTGTCTCACCGTGTGTGTGTGTGTGTGTGTCTGTGTCTCACCGTGTGTGTGTGTGTGTGTGTCTGTGTCTCACCGTGTTTGTGTGTGTGTGTCTGTGTCTCACCGTGTGTGTGTGTGTGTGTCTGTGTCTCACCGTGTGTGTGTGTGTGTGTCTGTGTCTCACCGTGTGTGTGTGTGTGTGTCTGTGTCTCACCGTGTGTGTGTGTCTGTGTCTGTGTCTCACCGTGTGTGTGTGTCTGTGTCTGTGTCTCACCGTGTGTGTGTGTGTCTGTGTCTCACCGTGTGTGTGTGTGTGTGTCTGTGTCTCACCGTGTGTGTGTGTGTGTGTCTGTGTCTCACCGTGTGTGTGTGTGTGTGTCTGTGTCTCACCGTGTGTGTGTGTGTGTCTGTGTCTCACCGTGTGTGTGTGTGTGTGTGTGTCTGTGTCTCACCGTGTGTGTGTGTGTGTGTCTGTGTCTCACCGTGTGTGTGTGTGTGTGTCTGTGTCTCACCGTGTGTGTGTGTGTGTGTCTGTGTCTCACCGTGTGTGTGTGTGTGTGTGTCTGTGTCTCACCGTGTGTGTGTGTGTGTGTCTGTGTCTCACCGTGTGTGTGTGTGTGTCTGTGTCTCACCGTGTGTGTGTGTGTGTGTCTGTGTCTCACCGTGTGTGTGTGTGTGTGTCTGTGTCTCACCGTGTGTGTGTGTGTGTGTCTGTGTCTCACCGTGTGTGTGTGTGTGTGTCTGTGTCTCACCGTGTGTGTGTGTGTGTGTCTGTGTCTCACCGTGTGTGTGTGTGTGTGTCTGTGTCTCACCGTGTGTGTGTGTGTGTCTGTGTCTCACCGTGTGTGTGTGTGTGTGTCTGTGTCTCACCGTGTGTGTGTGTGTGTCTGTGTCTCACCGTGTGTGTGTGTGTGTGTCTGTGTCTCACCGTGTGTGTGTGTGTGTGTCTGTGTCTCACCGTGTGTGTGTGTGTGTCTGTGTCTCACCGTGTGTGTGTGTGTCTGTGTCTGTGTCTCACCGTGTGTGTGTGTGTCTGTGTCTGTGTCTCACCGTGTGTGTGTGTCTGTGTCTCACCGTGTGTGTGTGTCTGTGTCTCACCGTGTGTGTGTGTGTGTGTGTCTGTGTCTCACCGTGTGTGTGTGTGTGTGTCTGTGTCTCACCGTGTGTGTGTGTGTGTCTGTGTCTCACCGTGTGTGTGTGTGTGTCTGTGTCTCACCGTGTGTGTGTGTGTGTCTGTGTCTCACCGTGTGTGTGTGTCTGTGTCTGTGTCTCACCGTGTGTGTGTGTCTGTGTCTCACCGTGTGTGTGTGTGTCTGTGTCTCACCGTGTGTGTGTGTGTGTGTGTCTGTGTCTCACCGTGTGTGTGTGTGTGTCTGTGTCTCACCGTGTGTGTGTGTGTGTGTGTCTGTGTCTCACCGTGTGTGTGTGTGTGTGTCTGTGTCTCACCGTGTGTGTGTGTGTGTCTGTGTCTCACCGTGTGTGTGTGTGTGTCTGTGTCTCACCGTGTGTGTGTGTGTGTGTCTGTGTCTCACCGTGTGTGTGTGTGTGTGTCTGTGTCTCACCGTGTGTGTGTGTGTGTGTCTGTGTCTCACCGTGTGTGTGTGTGTGTGTCTGTGTCTCACCGTGTGTGTGTGTGTGTGTCTGTGTCTCACCGTGTGTGTGTGTGTGTGTCTGTGTCTCACCGTGTGTGTGTGTGTGTGTCTGTGTCTCACCGTGTGTGTGTGTGTGTGTCTGTGTCTCACCGTGTGTGTGTGTGTGTGTGTCTGTGTCTCACCTGTGTGTGTGTGTGTGTGTCTGTGTCTCACCGTGTGTGTGTGTGTGTGTCTGTGTCTCACCGTGTGTGTGTGTGTGTGTCTGTGTCTCACCGTGTGTGTGTGTGTGTGTCTGTGTCTCACCGTGTGTGTGTGTGTGTGTCTGTGTCTCACCGTGTGTGTGTGTGTGTGTCTGTGTCTCACCGTGTGTGTGTGTGTGTGTCTGTGTCTCACCGTGTGTGTGTGTGTGTGTGTCTGTGTCTCACCGTGTGTGTGTGTGTGTGTGTCTGTGTCTCACAGTGTGTGTGTGTGTGTGTCTGTGTCTCACCGTGTGTGTGTGTGTGTGTCTGTGTCTCACCGTGTGTGTGTGTGTGTGTCTGTGTCTCACCGTGTGTGTGTGTGTGTGTCTGTGTCTCACCGTGTGTGTGTGTGTGTGTCTGTGTCTCACCGTGTGTGTGTGTGTGTGTCTGTGTCTCACCGTGTGTGTGTGTGTGTGTCTGTGTCTCACCGTGTGTGTGTGTGTGTGTCTGTGTCTCACCGTGTGTGTGTGTGTGTCTGTGTCTCACCGTGTGTGTGTGTGTCTGTGTCTCACCGTGTGTGTGTGTGTGTCTGTGTCTCACCGTGTGTGTGTGTGTGTCTGTGTCTCACCGTGTGTGTGTGTGTGTCTGTGTCTCACCGTGTGTGTGTGTGTGTGTCTGTGTCTCACCGTGTGTGTGTGTGTGTGTGTGTGTCTCACAGTGTGTGTGTGTGTGTGTCTGTGTCTCACCGTGTGTGTGTGTGTGTGTCTGTGTCTCACCGTGTGTGTGTGTGTGTGTGTGTGTGTCTCACAGTGTGTGTGTGTGTGTGTCTGTGTCTCACCGTGTGTGTGTGTGTGTGTGTCTGTGTCTCACCGTGTGTGTGTGTGTGTGTGTCTGTGTCTCACCGTGTGTGTGTGTGTGTGTCTGTGTCTCACCGTGTGTGTGTGTGTGTGTCTGTGTCTCACCGTGTG